AGACGCTGACACAAGGATATTTAAGGAGACATGGAGGTTTACAGACGACAAACAATATGGCGCACCGAGTACAGGTAATTAACGTATTGTGGTTTTAGATATAATTACATACTATTTAGGTTCTCGTTTGTTTGTCGATGTGGCTGTTTAGCGCAGTGTAATTGTGTTTATTTTGCTATATATATATATATGGGAATGAGAATGGGAATGACTGGTGTCTTCATGATAATGGTGAGTAAGGATAAGGCCGTGATATGGCACAATTGATTGCTCCTTAACACGTTTCATTTGTAAATACATGCAATAGTGATTCACCACCACTTAGACCTGACAAACGTTCTGTTTGAATCCCAATGTTCTCTCACTTTATGCACTTGCAAATAAACAGGTGTGCAATAATAAAAGGATTTAAGGAATGTTCACGTATAGGTCGGCCTCTCGTGCATCTTTCTTGTGGCGTTATCACCTCCACATTTTATTGGAGGTGTGTGACTACTTTCTCACTGAGTTATAAGCCGTCACGTGTACATTATGTCTTGCATGTGCTAATACAATTCTCATTACAGTATGCCTGGTATTTTGCCATGGAGGCCAGCTTTGACTTCAGCATTGTAAGTATTAAGGAAAGAAGTCACATTAAAATGCTATAACAAACTTAATGAAAATTGATGCTCTTTCTTCAGCATGACATGTCTCTCCTGAGAAGGTGGTGGTGTGTTATCCTGGTGGGAAACTTTGGACTGGAAGGGTATGCTGCAGTGCTACAAAAACATTTGAATTTGTAATTGTATTATCAAGAAGATTTGGGGGGAACACCTGGCTCTAAAATTCAACCTTCTGGTGAAGAAAATGTGTCTTAATTGCAGGTATGGAAAGAAGTTTGCTCACTATAGTGAGGAAGGCAGGGCGACCCTTAGCGACAATGTCCCACCTACATTCAGGATCAGTCGTAAAAGGACGCATGCAAGCAGCACCATGGTCAGTGTATCGCTCAACGTATCTATGACCCTGTGTGCCTGTTTCAGAATGGGTTACTACTCCTAAAACACATACTACATAGAACTTATGGTACATGCAACATTTGTTTTGTGTGGTACTGTGTCATTCTGAATCGAGCCTGGATCATTTTTGGAGGAGTTAAACCGTGCATGTAAAGCACTGTCAACATAATGGTTGACTGTCTACAGATGCCCCTGGACACTGATGAGGACCACTCCTATAACAAGAGGCCTTACAGCTTCCTTCCTAAAGAGTCGGTTAGTGAATGGACACATTAAAGTGTACAACCCCTGATGCATGTGATTTTATAATATTACATATGACTTCTTTATACCATCTTGTCTTATCAGTGAGATGGAACTTTGTTCTCATGACCTCGCCAAGAACATGAGTGAGGAAGCGCACCAAAGGCTGAAGGACTTGTGAAAGATTCCGAGGAGTTTTTAAATAGGCTTTAAACTCCTGCAGGTCAATATTTTTTTAAGTTGACCAGCTCTGATTTTCCACATGATGTTCTGTTCAATAAATGTTCATTGAGGAAAACGGTATCAGTGTCTTATTTTATATACATCACAGTGAATGCTGAACTTGCCGGACCATATACTGTAGTTGAAAGTACACAATGAAACACTGGCTTGCTTGTATCAAATCAATACAATTCCCACATGCCCCACCCCGGAACCTGCGGTCTTCAGACTCTGGCCCCCCGCACCAACCTGCGATCCTTCAGGGACAGAGCCTTCAGTATGGCAGCCCCCACTCTCTGGAACGCTCTCCCTGCGGAGATCTGCAACATCCCCACGCTTGACGCCTTCAAAAGGGCCCTCAAGTCCCATCCGTCTGCCAAGGCCTTTGGCCCCAAATCTATTTGTTGTTTTGTTCTTCTTTTTAAAGCGACCTTGGGTCTCATGAAAGGCGCTATATCTTATTATTAATACATCATTGGAACGGTGCCTCCAGTATGCCTACATGACAAGCATTTTTATACAGTAAACATATCTTTGACTTATTGCAAAATTATAAAATGAAATTCACCCCTGCTGTCATTCTGGCTTTCACTGTTCAAATGAGATGTCAACCATCAAAATGGGATAAGGGGTTCCAAGGGGTTCTCAAACGGATAGGTTATTAATTTATTTGCCTAATAGTTGCTTAAAATGCTACAATAACATGCCATGTCCGGTCTCTCAGCCACCGTAGGCGGCATAGTAGGGGCCGTGTCGTGTAGTGTCGTCAATTCGCTTTTCATCTGCCATGCCTCTGCCATGCCTCTCAGCCACCGTAGTGTCGTGTCAGGTGGGCGCGTCGTGTACCGTTGTGTACCGTTGTGTACTGTCCGCGGCCGCAGCTAGACCATATTGGAAGTCTTTGCGGTATGTTCCAGTGTGACACATGGCCAAGACGCAGAGACGTGAGGCGACGTGAGGCGACGTGAGGCGACGTGAGGCGACATGTTCTTTGGTGTCAGTTGGTGTGTAAGGACCTTTATACAGAAGGAATTGTATAGAAGTCAGGGCTCGACATTATAAATGGCCCGCTGGCCCGGAAGCACTATTTAAACACCCCGGGCCAGCATAACGTACTTTCCACTTGCCCGCTCGGGCCACTAAAAATATTGTTTAAAAAAAATGTTTCCTGTGGTATTGATATTTTGACTAGCAATTTTGTTAAATTGTTTCGTTTATCAACGCTACAACATAGCTTTTCGTGAGTCGCTTGTCATTGTTGGGTGAAAAGCTAACAGCTGTTTGCTGCTGAGCGCAGCACGAGCAGGCTCCCGTGAGCGGGAGCGCGCTCCTTCACTACAGTACAGACTATCACGCCATCTAACCATTCGCCAAAAATGTTTTTAATACCAGCGGTAGCCGGGCAAAAAACAATCTTCAAATAAAAGAAAGTCACCGGTGGAGTTAAAGGAGAGTGACAGGGAGCATGAGAAGAAGAGGGAGAGGAAGTTTCAGCTTGATCGATGGAGTTGGCTTCTAGTGGTGCAGTGACGCCTCCTAAAACCCTTTTATAATCTATCGATTAGATTTATGATTCGAACATTATAAAAGTAGGGTAGACATGTGGAGATTATCCGGCTGAACAAAACGTGCATTTATCAAACACGTTTGTTTTCCACAGGCCTTATTTCCAGCTATTTTCCAAAACCCTGTGGAGAAATAAATCCCATTGCTTTTTGTCGAGGGAACCAGCAGCTTACTTCCTGGTTTTAGGACTCGTCACTGGCTGCACCTCTCAATATGATGCAAATACAAACAAGGTCTTCTGTCGGCTCTGTACATCAATGCCGACCTATGCTGACAAGTAAGTGAAGAGTAGACAATATAAAGGTATTGGCGAAATGTCCCAGCAGTTTAATGAAGGTTCTAATCTAATCTATAGCCATTACATGTCTAACTCCTAATGACAGGAAGGCAGAATGCACATTATGCAAATAATAATACTCATAATAGCAGAATCTTTTTAACAATGACCACAATATCATTATTTTAATAAACCAAATATGAACAATTGAGGAAAATGAGGAAGAACTGATGTCAAATGTTGTAGTACAAGTAGTAATGTAGTTAGTGCATAAATTACTATTGCAACAAATGTGTTAATTTTCTTCATTATTAGTCGATTTATTTTTTTGGGACGAATGCTCCGGGCCAGTTGTTACAATGGTGGGGCCAGTGATAATACAATTCCACCGGCCCGGAGGGCCAGTGGAGTTTAAAGTCTTCTCTAATCCAGCATGATGTTCATTTAGTGCATTATGATCCCATTTAGAGTAAAATAGACGATTAAGGAGCTTTAGGGGTATATTATCATCGGTCGCTGAAACAGTGTTATCTGTATTTTCGTCCGAGAGCATGCACTCTTATCATTTCTCTCACAGCCTAACAAAGCTTCTAGCAAGCAGCCTTGTTGTAGAAAACCCTGGAGAGGCAATTAGAAAAGGTATCTAGGGATTTCTGTGAATCCTGATGACAGTAGAGAACATTTCAGCAACTATAGCGGTGGCCTTGCAGTAACCGAGAGAATTAGACGCCTTCAACGAAAGACAAGCACGTCTTGAAACCCTTCCTATAAACAGGCTTTGTGTAGCATGTGTAACATTGGTGTAATGTTGTGTAATATGGATGTAGAAGGGGTGTAATATGAATAAAACATATGTATTATATAGGTGTAAAATATAGGTGTAATATGGGTGTAATATGGGTGTAATATGGGGGTAATATGGGTGTAATATGGGGGTAATATTGGTGTAATATGGGGGTAATATGAGTAAAACATATGTATTATATAGGTGTAATATGGGGGTAATATGGGGGTGATAATATGGGGGTAATATGGGTGTAATATGGGGGTAATATGAGTAAAACATATGTATTATATAGGTGTAATATGGGGGTAATATGGGGGTAATATGGGTGTAATATGGGGGTAATATGGGGGTAATATGGGTGTAATATGGGGGTAATATGGGTGTAATATGGGGGTAATAGGATATCAAATGTGCAGCGTATCTCGTAAGACCGATTTTTTTAAGAATTGATGAAATCTTAGCCTAGATATAATAGAACAAATATTATTTGTATGTGCTTGCCTAGGGGTGTAACGGTTCACAGAAGTCACGGTTCGGTTCGTACCTCGGTTTGGGGGTCACGGTTCGGTACAACAAGAAAAAGCAAAACAAATGTCCCAAATGCATAATTCCTTGTTTGTTGTTATCTATGATTGAACAGTAGCAAGTTTCAGTTTAAAAATAAAGAACTCTGACATTTTGAATAATGAACTGTATTAAACAGTTAAAAACAAACCATACACAGTACACTCAGATGGCCATATTATCTATAATGGCTGATGTCAAACAAAAAGGTTTCATCAAGCTGTAAAACTAAAAAGAATGTCTTGAAAATATTACATCATAAATAATAAGAAAGTGTTTCAAGAGCGCAAAGTCGTTGAATATGATTTAGCATGTTTGGCGTGTGTTCTCATGAGCATACCGCACCACTGTAGAACAACGGCGACACACCGTCCTCGTCCGATCCACCACTCGCACACTCCATCGTTATTGTAGTCCACAGGGAACCCGAAATGTTCCCACACAGCTGATGTGAAAGAAGCAGGTGGGTTCTAGCTCCTGTGTTATCTGAAATCGCCAAACTAACTTTTCTTCTTCTTGTATTTTGTTCGTTTTGTTGTTGTGTTTCTTCTTGTTCTTCATTTGTTGTTTAAGGGCGGCTGGCAAACAGCTTTTAGGCGCAATACCGCCCCCTGGATTATATATAGTGTAGTGGATACTGCCCTGAATGACAGACTGTTTTCCCACTCATAAAAAAAGGCGTATTCGTCGCGTGACTGCGTGTGCCGAACCGTGACGTCCGAACCGTGACGGTACGGGACGAATACGGATACCGTTACACCCCTTGCCCTTTTAATGGTTAACAATATGCATCCTACACAGGGATTTCAGTCTCAGCAGACCATTCACATGCACTACAAACACAGGGTCTGTTTAAAGGGAGCGTGGTCAGGAGAAAAAGTGATTTTTGATTTAAATGTTTTGTGTGTTATTTGTTCGGCTGGATTTAAATTTGTCTGCTTGAATGCTGATTTATTTTAGTTTTAACAAACGAGAAACATACTGGGCATCCTCCGAAAGCCTCTGGATGAAAGTCAACTGTCCCAAAAAACAAATTAAAAGTGCAAAACTGTAAAGGTATTCAAATATTCATTGTATTATAATTGATGGCTCCAGTCCCCAGCAAATCTGCTTTGAGGTAATACAAACGTCTAATTGGACACTTCAATCATAAATCCTTTCTTTGTTAACGAGCTGTTGAACTTCCATTGAAAGGCACTTTATTTCAACGACGCACTTTAACAAAACTTCTGTTCAACCCAAAAAGCTGACACTTCTATCAGCACTGGAGGACTCTTATCTAGTGTATTTTACATACCTGTCAATCATGGAGGCAATTACTTGGGAGGACATCTCGTCTCTGTGGGAAAAATAAAATGTTTTTTTTTAGCAATTTTAAAAGGATTTCTGTCCTGCACTGTGATATTATTTTTACCAGCCTGCCCATACGGTCATAACACTTGGTGGGATAAAGCAAGGACATACCCGTGTTTGAGAGCACTTGCGTTGATGGAGGTGTTCTTCAGCAAAGCTTGAAATCACAAGGGCTCTTCTGGCCGCTCTGCAGCACTTCAAGCAAATCAAGTGATGATCCATGTGATCCTCGAGGAGGGAGAAGGGAAATAAGAAGGTCAGAAAATGAGCGGAAATCAAGGAATATTCATTTGACAGACGGTGTGAGATTGCTCCGGGTGCACACGCTGACGTCCAGATGCACACGTGAGGGAATGTTAATATAACACACACTCAGGGCTGTTTAAACTAATGCTAAAGGACTGCAATTTAGTATTGTTATTCCAGGCTGCCTTCTTTAACACGTTCATGTGTACACAAATTAAGTTTCATTATGTGCTCGCCTCTTTATTAAATATACTGGTTTAATTATGCGTTGTATTTGAATGAATCCGATGTGTTATCATCGCCACATTTGCATATAAAAGCCTACATTTGTTACCGTTAATGGACTTAATTAATAACCAGATACAATATATGTTAATCAGAATTTATTTTCATAACCAAATAACAACATTTGCTGATTTCGAAGGTGAAGAGGTGATGCTGTCGTCCTCATGATATTTGAGGGCTTTCACTTCTTATATTAATACAAATATGTGTTTTCTATTTTGTATATTATTTATTTGATTCAAAACTGAAGCAACAAAACCCAATTTCCCTCGGGATAAATATATTTTATGATTCTGATTTAATGCCGTAACTGTGTTAAAAGTTAATTATGTCCGCTAATGAAATGGTAAAATGTCGTCAATTAAAAATAATTCCCATAATAACATAATTAAGTTTGCCAACAAATAAGATATGACATTTAGTTACACTTAAGATCTTTAAATATTCAAAGTAAAAACCTGATTTAATAGCCCTAAACTATTTGGATCAATTCGTCTCTCATATATCTCAGTGTTTTTGAAGCTGCATTAATCTCATACTCACAGTTCCCTTCGGCACGGAGAGTCAGATGTCACGAGTCACACTGCAAACATTCCTCACATACTTGCATGCCTTAAGCTTTAAAACTACAACTGTGAGACGGTTTGATTGATTGATTGAAAGTGTATTAACAGCTTGTATATTGGGTACAGTACAGTACAGCTCAAAACATACAATTGTTAAGGGGATGCAGACCAGAGAAAGACTTTCGTCTTGTTTACATCAGGGTCCCCCATTTCCAATTCATCATATCATTTAAGACATATAAGACATATTTGACATACAGATGGCTTATTTACAATTTACATACAGGTGGTTTTTTCAACCTGATCTCACCAGAATGCGTGACTCCACCACGACTCCTTAACACCGCATTGCGTGGTGGACTCACGAACTTTGTTACATTTACGTGTCTGCACCACGCAAACAACCCCAATGTAAAGTGAACGAGGCTCCTTTGTCGTGGTGCACACACGCATTTCTACAACGTCCTGCAGTGAGCTTTTATTCTATAAAACGTTTTTTAAATCTACTTTATAGCTTGTAGTAACTCACGGGAGGCTTCTTTTATTTTATTTGTATTCATAATAATTTTTATTTTTCGTCAGAATGTATTATGGTGCATTACTTACGAATTTTTGTTCTCAAAAAACAGTGCATTGTGTGTAACTGTGATTTTTATTGAATTAGTTAGTTTTTAAGGAAGGCCAGAGCTTCAGCTGTGTCCAATAGATTGTTCCCTTTTAGTTAACGTTTTTTAAAAGAACATTATATTCCGATTTGATCCTGTCCCCTTTATTGTATTACGGAGAGCATTGTGAACGTCCATTCCCATTGGATAACGGAGGATTTTACACCCGGAAGTGAGTATTCTCCTTACTGTCGATTGATTTTACAGTGATATCTGAACTACTCATCGACTCAAAAACACCAGATTATCCTTGTTGATTACACAACATTGATTGGTTTAAATTGTGTGCAATGGTTTTGTAATTTTTTTTAAGATTGCTTATTTACAATTTTCATTTTAGATTTCGTTCTAATACATCCTAACCGGACATTTAAGACATACCAAGTCTACAGATATACAGTTAGTAACAGAGTCTAAAATGCGAGTATATACATAGATGGGGGGGGGGGGGAAGCTGTCCATTGAACGACAGGTTGAGATTTGTACCATTACCGGGGCCAGTTTTGCAATGCTCTCCCCCGAAGGTGCTCTTTAAGAGAGGTTTTGAAGGTAAGTATAGTTTTACTTTCCTTTACAGTTGTGGGAAGAGCGTTCCACCTTGATGTGGCATCATTGCGAAACGTGTATTCCCCCTTTTTTGTGCCAAATCTGGGTTTCACATGATTTGTGGAGCTCCCTCTGGTGTTATGATCATGGTATTCCTTGACCTTTGGGAAGAATTTTGACATGTATGGGTACCATAGAGGTGTAGTGGATCTTGTAGACCAAGCCCATTGCAAGTAGCTGTACTCTGTCGTCTACTCTAAGCCATCCTAGGTTGTCAAAGTGGGCAGAGGTGAGGTGGGTTCTAGATGAAAGGTCAAGCAGTAGTCTGACGAGTTTATTTTGCGATGTTTGAAGTTTTATTTTTAGCGCCTTGGAGGTGCTATGGTACCATGACGTGCAAGCATAGTCATAGTACCCTTGAATGAGTGCTCCTGCCAGAGTTTTCAGGGTGTTCTTGTTTACCAGAGAGGAGATCCGGTATAGGAATCTAGTTCTTTGATTGACTTTTTTTATTACATTGGATGCCATTTTGTCACAGGAGAGGTTTGCCTCAAGAATAGATCCTAGGTATGTCATTTCCTTCTTACTTGTGACAATAATGTCGCCCACTGCAACTGAGAAGTCGTCGGATTTGCTGAGATTATGTTTCGAACCGAAGAGAATGGACTCTGTTTTACCCAGGTGTAATGATAATTTATTATCGGCGAGCCAGGTGCAGATTCTGCCGAGCTCGGTACATTCATGAAGAGGAAGATGAATGTTAGATGGAGACGGAGGGAACAGTCCGGTCACTCTTTAGTGTCCCCTGGTCTCCCAGCTGTGTGCCTCACTCTTTAGTGTCCCCTGGTCTCCCAGCTGTGTGCCTCACTCTTTAGTGTCCCCTGGTCTCCCAGCTGTGTGCCTCACTCTTTAGTGTCCCCTGGTCTCCCAGCTGTGTGCCTCACTCTTTAGTGTCCCCTGGTCTCCCAGCTGTGTGGGTCACTCTTTAGTGTCCCCTGGTCTCCCAGCTGTGTGCGTCACTCTTTAGTGTCCCCTGAGAGGCTTCTCAATAATCAAATTTCTCCTCCTCGACTCCTCGGTCCTCCGGTAGTGACCCGGAAATGAATTTCAGCGCGCCATTTTGAAGGACATCTCATTTCTCTAAATGCACACCGAGGACCGAGCATCGAGCGTCGAGGAGGCTCTCTGGAGGAGCTCTAACCGAGGATACACTGATGGTTCCTCCACGGCTTCTCCACGGATGCATTTCCGGGAACGGTGGAGGCGTGACGCACGGCCGGACTTATCTCAGCCAATGACAGCTATGCAGGCATCCCCTGGATATTATTTTAGAAACTGCTTTCATCGCGTCGCGATGTTTCCAGAGAGAACAGCTGTGAGGTCCATGCAGAACGCAGAGCAGTGTGTATAATATCACTCAGTATAACAGGCCGACTCTCTTTATTTGCTTTAGTTTAGTAGATATCTACAAACAAAGAGTCGATATTTTTCTAAGACCATTGCTTCACATAATAAAATACACAACGGCTTATGCTTTAGGAGCTATAGGTGTGTGTGGTACAGTGTGTAGGTGTGTGTGGTACAGTGTGTAGGTGTGTGTTGTACAGTGCGTAAATGCGGCGGACAGACGGGTCTCAGTTGGTTTGGTGTCCTCTGCTTACTTTTAATAGGCCTACTTGTAAATACAACTTTTGGCCCGTAATTTCAATTCCCCATTTCA